AGAAGAAGAAGAAGAAGAAGAAGAAGAAGAAGAAGAAGAAGAAGAAGAATTAGAAGAAGAAGAAGACCACCAAAAAAGAAATGAATGAGAAGGGAGGTAGAAGAGCAGCAGTGTTCATGGTGGAGCTACCTTTAGTGCCCAGCTTCACAGAGGCCATCTGCATGCTCGTATCTGCTGCTACACTCAGTCTCTGGCTATGTCCCACACGCCCTGAGGTATGCCATTATGTTCTCACGGCAGAAGGAGAACCAAAAAAGTAAACAGCACATTGACACTATGAAGACCGTTTAGATGTCGAGTCCCCTGAAAGGAATTTTACACTTCCCCCATGTCCCCAACCACACTTTGAAAACCACTGATCTTCCACTTCTCCAAACACTAATGGTCTGAAAAGTAGCAACCTAGTGGTATGAGCAGGGCTCCAGGAAGTCCTGTTGAGAGAAGCAGGTTGCCTTCCTAGTGCCTCTTGATCTACTTCTTTGCTTGTTTTTGTTTAGTTTTGCAGACTTACATTTTAAAAAATGGGATTTATTCCAATAGTATCTTGATATTTACAGTATGATGACAAAGAATTAAAATATCATTTCAAAAACCCGCCTTGCCAGTGTCCTTAATCATTCACTCACAACTATTACTAAAAAAAGAAAAGAGCAACTTCCTCTTTGACAGGGTGTTTGATGTTATGGATTTCCTCTGTGCCTTTGGGTCATCCACAGTCTCTTTCTACAGTCACCAAAAGGCAGATTTACTTGTAACTATAGGATATGAACTGGAATGCATATTTAGCAATCTGGTCCAATTTTATCTCCTCAAGACCAAAAACAAACAAACAAACAAACAAACAAACAAACAAAAACAAAAAAAAAACTTCACAGTACAGTTTTGGCATGCTTTTAAATTAAAAGGAGGTGGAAGGCCTTAGGACTGCCCTCTGAAAGAAGGACTGTTTAATTTTCTCTTCCTTCTTCTGCCCCAAAGTACTCAAGAACTCTCTCACGTCCTCTTATCTAAAGAAGTAAACTTCTCAATGAAATACAACCTTCCTAAATACCCTCCCTAGGACCTTTTCAAAGTAACCAGGAAACCTCAACCATGGAGAGAGAAAGGCACCAACAACCCTCAACATAGTCAAATGGACTCTCCGGCAATTCTTCTGATGACATAATTTGCAGTATTTCTAGAGAAACTCGGTCTGCACAAGATAAGGTTTGCATTGATATCCTGTTTCCTTAACTCGTATCTTCCATGCCAGGAGATGAGAGCAACCTGGTTCCAATCTGTGGTCTGCTCCTTGGGGCTCAGTCCTTTCTACTAAAAGTCATTTACTATCCCCTGAAGGCGTCAATGGCTCACTGGCTCTATTTCTCTTTCCCTTATAGAGAGTATTTATGCTTTATTCACCTCACCCTCTCTGAATTGCCTATCTTGAGGGCCTCTGATGCACACAGCATACTAAACACATGCTAAGCCTTTTCTCCTGGCAATCTGTCCACTGGCAGTGCATGTCAGAGGACTTGTGGAGGGCAGAAA